ATAATAGACGACAGTTTTTAATCACTTTTATTGACTTTTCTATTCTATGCTTACTTATCAAATTATAAAATGACAAGATAAAGTAACAAAAATTAAACTATATGAAAAAGAAAGGAAACACATCAGAGATTGTCAGATGCCTACAGTTCTCCTTAATGTTTCCTCAGAAAAAAAGAAACAAGATGTGTGAAATCTCTGAGAAAGGAGATGACAGTTTAAAATGTAGAAAAGGAAGCCCCACTCACCTTGAACTTGGTCATTCTGTCCTCCTTCGTTTGGAATTGGCTGGGACTTAGGAAGGCACAACAGGGGAAAAAGAAAACAGCCATCAGCATCCGGCCAAGAATGCCACTGCTTTCTGCACAAGCTCAGCTCCTCCTGCGGGGTGTGGACTCTGGGTGCCATTCTTTCAGCTAAGGACCCCTGGAGCGAGTGACTCTCCCCGCCCCGTGCCGTGTGGCCCTGACACACACTCCTTATGAGCCTCACAGTATGGCTGTAACTCTAAGGAGGACAGAAATGGAACGTGCAGCCAGGTTCAGAATGTAAACTCTGGCCCCAATACCTACACTCTCGGCACTGCTATTTAGTAGTTGTGACATCCTGCACAAATTAGTAACTCCATATCGCCATTCTTTCATCCATAAAATGAAGAGATTAACAATTAAGAGAATTAACAATCTCTCAAAGTATTGAGTGAGGAAAAAAAAAAGTTCAAAGAACATTTTCAGAGTAATATTCCCTAGATTGTGAAAATGAAGAAATATTCAGTGACATAAAACTTGTCTTCATAAATGATTATTATCAAGGGAAACTTTAGAAGTTGTCACACGAAAATTACCTTTAACTTCTGAAATATTGTAATTCTTAGTTGGTCATACTTAATTTAATGCCTCTCTAATAATACTTAAGATCACAGGAGATGTGATCAAAATACAGTGAATCCAGGTGTAGTGGTATACCCAGCACTGGGAGGCTGAGGCAGGAGGATCACTGAGAGTTCTACACCATGGGCCACTGGGCCTGCCCCTGGGCACCCTTCCCACCTCTGGTAACCACGCTGTCTTTAGGAACTTGACTACGTTGTTGACTGAGTTTTCAAAGATGGAAGACCTTGCAAACATGGAACAGATAAAATAAAATTTCAGGCCAGGGAGATAGCTTAGCAGCACAAGTGCCTGCCTGGCGAGCACAAGGTTCCGAGTTCAATCTCCAGTACAGGAAGGGAGGGAGGAAGGGAGGGAGGGAGGAAGGGAGGGAGGGAGGAAGGGAGGGAGGGAGGAAGGGAGGGAGGGAGGAAGGAGGGAGGGAGGGAGAGGGAGAGAGAGAGGGAGGGAGGAGAAAATTTCATAAATCTTTATCTCTATACTGTATATATAACTATGTATTTGATAATCCATATACCATTCAAACAAAAAGCTACAGTAATCATTGTAAGAATAAAAATAACAGAATTGGTAATGTTTAACACCAAGTCCCCATCAGGAGCCCTGGCAAGCGCTGGGCACGCACTCTTCCCTACCTCACAGACACCGCTTCCGCTACTGCCACGCCGGTCCTGTGCTCTTGGTCCTATCACCTAAACCTCTGTGCCTATCCGCAGCTACAAAAGGAAAAGAAAAAGAATGTTAATCATAGGGTTATTATGGGAAATAAATGAAAAAATTTATGTGGTAGCCTTGGCAAAGTACCTGACATTTTAAGAAGTTCTCAGCCACTAAAGACAGTAACTGCTGCACCCATTGAACAGGGGACATCGAGGAGCTGGAGTGACCCCGAATCCAGCTCTCATGCCCGTGCCCGTATTTTGAATCTTGTCTCTCTCTCTCCTCTCTCTTTCTTTCTTTCTTTCTTTCTTTCTTTCTTTCTTTCTTTCTTTCTTTCTTTCTTTTTCTGAGATAGGGTCTGGCTGTGTAGTTCAGGCTGGCCTGGAACTCATAGAGATCTCTCTGCCTCAGCCTCCCAAGTGCTGGGATTACAAGTGTGTACCACCATGCCTGGCATCCTGTCCATCTTGTTATGGACAAAAATAAGTGGTTGGGAGCTTAGGGTCTTACAGAAGAGTTGAGATAAAAAACTTAAATAAAAAGATGCATAAATGAAGATAGAATTCTGAAGACATACGATGTGCTTGAGGGAGAAGAAAACTGAGTTGTGAACAGGACAGACTCTAAAACCATGCTCTGATGTTAGGGTACTGGCATCCCCAGTCTGACAGCACTTCTGCCCCATGTCTGATCTGTGATGAGGGGGGTGGTGATAACACCAAACTCACTTAAGATCAAAGTGACTGAGTGTACACAAAGCCTTTGGAACAGCGTCTGCCAGCTTAAACATTCAATAAAAGCTACCCACATATCCATACCGCTGCTGCTTCTTGGTGCTAGAGGTGGAACTTGAAAGCCTTAACGTGCTCGAACTGGGCCTCCAGAAGGGAAGTCAATCATGAGTGAGAGCCCTTACTGTGCGATTAGTGCCCTTACAAACGGAGATGGTGAAATACTCATTCCCACATGCCCAGGATGAGGACCAAGAGATGGCATCCAGTGGGGGAGCTCTTTTGGTCCCTTATACTGTAGCCAGTTTACTGGCAACAGGGCAGTGCCAATCCAGCCAGGGAACTGATCCAGCAATCACCTACCCTTTGTCCCTGCATTTCAATGCCAATCAATCACACACTACATTCAGCCAAGCTCCTCCATGGCTGCACAAAGCTTTAGGGGGGACACCTAGACACAAACCGTAACAGCAGGCATTGGGCTTGTCAGTACCTTCATCGTGGACTTAACTTCCAGAATGGTAAGAAATGAATGTTGGGTGTTAAGCTACCTGGTCCACAGTATTTATGTTATTTCAGCCCAGACTTACCAAGTCATTCAGGACAGCAAAGCAGCACTGCCTAAGGAGCAGAGCATGGGCTGAATCCCAGATGCCGCTGAGACCCCAGCTCAGAGCCACTGCACGGTGAACAATGCACCCAACCTACACAGCGGCCCTAACTTGAATTCTCCTTGTAGGGTCTGACTCTAACCATTAGAAGGATAGAAACTCAAGATAAAATAAGCTGGCTCAGTGATGCACATCTGTAATATCAGCTATGGAAGAGGGTGGGGCAGGAGGACTGCAAGGTGAAGGCAATCTCGGGGAATTGAGGAGACCCTGCCTCAAAATAAAATAAAACAAGGGCTGGGGATGTAGCTCAGCACTCTCTTGGTTCAATCCCTTGTACTACGAGGCAGTGTAATGGTGGGGGTTAGTATTAGTTAATTAGAAGTAGTAGTGTTGCAGGCAGCCTGAGTTAGATAGAAATATCATAGGCAGTCAGACAGGGTCAGGACCTCGAAGGAGATGACCAAGACCAGACACCTTACAACTGTGAGAGATGCTCCTGCTGTGAGCCAGACCTAAAGGCCAAACAAATACTAACATCCCTAAAGACTGGCATCCAGGATTGATCATTACTCAGGAAGAATCATTGTCTGAAGGCCACCAGATAAGGTTTACATTCATGCCTGCTTGTTACATGACTTGCTACCCCATTTGGTCCTGGGCCTAATCAATTTAACCTAAGCAATGGTGCTCACAATCCCATTGGTTGACCATAATTTTGTCCTACCCCACATCCACCTAAGCAAGTTCCCATTCTTTCCACCTTAGGTCTGCATGGTTTTACACTATAAAAGTCCCTGGAAGAGACAGCTTCCCTGGGGAACTACCCGTTCGGGTCCCCCTCCTGTCCCTCTCTTGGACAGGAGCTTTCCTTCCCTCAATAAATATATTCTGCTCATAACCTCTGTTTTTTCCTAAAATTCATTCTTCGGTTTTAGAGAACACGAACTCATCCAGGTCAGGTCGAGAGATCATTTTTCCCTATGTCATTTGGAGGTTCCCTATATCATTTGAGGTCACCTACCTGAGATCAGTTTTTCTCCCTATATCAGTAGTAAGCCCTCTTATTTCAGATACAAGAACCTTACTGTGAAGCTTACTGCTATGTTCTGATACCAAATGGTCCCAGAGGCCCCCATGCTAAAGGCCTGGTCCCCAGTGTAGCAATATTGGGCACGGGCGGAAGCTTCAATGGGTGGCACCTATGGGGAAACTTTAGGTCACTGAAAGCATAGCCAAAGGGGTCAGTGGGACTCTGGCCCTCTGCTTCTTCCTCTCTTTTTTGTGCCATGCCATGAGGTGAGCAGTTCTCCACAATACACTCCTATGTGCGGCCTTCCCACAGACTCAAACCAAGAAGGCCAATTGATTATGGACCCTCTACACCTGGGGGCTCCATCAACTTTTTCATAAGGTGATCCCATTATAGTCACAGAACACTAATACACTTAGTGTGGCACATTTCTTCCAATCATAGAAGAAATCCTCCTTGAGAGATTGTGATTCGCTTTGTTCTCATTCCATACTTGCCTGGAAATCTCTAGTAAAAGTGTTTTGCAGTGAGATCCTTCCATCTCTTCTGTGGGAAAAGGGATAACTAATAAGTCTGACATCTGTCTGGTAATTAATTCCTGGATTGCATTTCCAAGAACCTAAACCAGAGCTTATAACAAAATCATTTGCTTAGCAGAGCTGACGACTGACTGACTGACTGACTGACTGACTGACTGAATCTATCTCTTGACAAATGGGTGAAGCAGATGAAAGACTACACAGGTGGCACCACCACACCCAGCTAAGAATCCACACTTCTATCCCAGTTGATGCTGATGTGTTTGGTCCCTGTATCACAAATTGAGAATCATCAGTCAGAAATAGCGCTCCACAGTTTTTCAGACAGCCTGATGACTTTGGGATCCTACCTCTCACCTTTCTACCAACTCTAATAGAGGACCACGATCAACCCTAAGATCCTGATGTAGTCACAAGAAAACCCAGACAACTGATGAAAAACTTCCTTACCTACTGGGCACCGTTTGCATGAATAGAGTCAGTATTTCAACCAATCTTCATAACAGCGCTAAGGATTGAGAAGACAATTATGCCCATTTTACAGGTCAAGAAATTAAAGTACAGGGGATGGTGAGATAGCACAGTGGTCTAAAGCACCTGCTTAGGCAAGCTTAGGCAGGCGCAGGGGACTGAGATGTGGTCCCCAGCATCACATACAGCGCCAGCCCCGCCCTTGGGGTGGGCTGAGCCAGCCCCCCCCAAAAAAAAATTTAAAAAAAGAAATCAAAGTATAGAAAGTCACTTGTTCATGATTTACCACAAGTCAACAGAAAGTTAAGATTTTCACTCTGTTTACCTACTAGGACGGACAATGGCTATCAAACCAAGAGCAGATGAGACTCACACGATAACTTATAAATTTCCAATCCACATTAATTAATTCAGACCCTATGGAGGAGGGGTGCTGACATCTGAAGTTTTATACCTTTCCTCAGACCCAGGCCACCATTTTATTGTCCAGACAGGACGGTACACCGAGCAATGAATCCAAGCAATGTGACACTTCTGCCCACATCTTTAACTAGGCAATAGTTCTCAAGCTCTGGGATGCGTCTGAGCCTGAGAATCGGAATGCTGCCTTAACATTTTTTAGTTTCTCCCGAGGCCTAACCATGAACTCCGATATCTTCTCTAGGCAGGCCCCCTCCCCAGTGTGTTAACTCTGTTTTTTTATTCTGCACTGGCTATTTGACATCTGTTATTCCTAACCTCTCTATAAGAGCTAAGCCACAAGGTCAGACTCAGAATCAAGTTATTTCCATTTTTCTGTAAGCAGTTTTCACAGAGGGCTAAGTTCCCAGACTATTCTAAGCACTTTATATATCATGTCTCATTTAATGACAGGAACCTTAGGAGGGAAGTACTGATATCATCCCTGTTTGTTAGGTGAGGAGACTGAGGCCCAGAGAAGTTAAACAACTTCCCCAAGGCCACGCAGCTACTGCGCTCCAGCGAAGTTTCTAACTTAGGCGCTGAGATTTGATCCAGGATCTTCTTCCTTTACAGTATACTAGCAAGACACTTATTCAGGCCGGGCATGGTGGCACACACCTGTAATCCCTGTACTCAGGAGGCTGAGACAGGAGGATCTTTTTGAGTTTGAGACCAGCCTGGGCTACCAAGTGAGCTCAAGGCCAGCCTGAGGTGCATAGTTGCACCCTGTCTCAAAGAAAAAAAAAAAAAAAGAAAAGAAAAAAAGACATTTATTCAGTTGTTATCTATGCTTATTTCTTTCCCTGTAAAATGAGAACACCAATAACTTTCATGAGAAATAAATGAGTTAACTGAAAAAACCTGGAGTTCTGCAAGTCACAAGGGAAATCCAACAAATGTTAGCCATTCTTTCCACTCCCCTGATCTCCATGCAATAAATAAAATAGCAAACATTAATGGTGTCTCTAAAGGAATTTGTTTTAAATCATGACAATACTATCTACAACTGTACATCAACTTCTGAATACTCTGAAAAAGTTGATGGATTCTATTGCCTGCCAAAAGTAAGTGAGATAAAAGCCAAGGGACAGTCTTTCAGTTTTGTTCTCTAAGCCCACGCGGCAGCCTGTACTTTCTTTCAGCTGCTTGCTGGACAGCTACATGCACCACACTTATGCACTGCATAACTCCTCCTTACCGACCTGTTGATGGCACCCTGAGAATATGATGAAGCCCATGAAACACAGAAAAGAAGTGAATAGAAGAATGAAAGAGATAGAAAAAGAGAAGGGGCCAGAGAGATAGCTCAGTGGACTAAAGCATCTCCTTAGGCAAGCTTAGGCAAGTGTAGGCACCACAGTTCCATCCGCTGCACCACATGCTGCGCCAGCCCCGCCCCCCAGGCAGGTGAGCAGCCAGAGTGCGGTTGTGGTGGCACACAGCTGTAATCCCAGCCCTGGGGAGGCTGACAACAGCAGGATCACCACAAATCCAAGTTGAATAGTGAGACCCTGTAACAACCAAATACATTTAAAATAATAATAATAATAATAATAATAATAATAATAGAAAAAGAGGAAAGAAGACAAAGAACGAAAGGAAAAAAGAGAAAAAATGAACAAAAGGGAGAGAGGAAAAAAGAGAGGGAGAAAAAGAGAAAAAAAAGGAAGGAAATAAGGCAGGTAGGCACAGTTGTATTCGGTGGCTGGCACAACTCTAAAGGAATAAAAAATCAATCATCTTTTTCCTGACCCCTTCTCTTTTTTAGCTTTCTCACATAGTCTATTCTCCTTAGGTAAAAACCTCGAGTTGCTGCTAACTCTTAACATCTGTTACAGGCTGTGTTCCCTCCCAAATTTGTGCGCTAAGTTCTAACCATCAGTACCTCAGATCGCAGACGGTGCCTTTCCAGAGATAGGGAAGTTAACACACCAAGGAATAGCACAGGAGTTCTCGTACAGAAAAGAGAGAGGCTTCAGAGGAAACCAAAGCTCCTAACACATTGACCTTGAACTTCCAGCCTCTATAACTATAAAAAAAAAAACAGATTTCTGTTGTCTCAAGACATCCAGGCTACTTAGAACAAGCTTAGCTAAAGCACAGGGACCGCGGTTCAATCCCCCAGCAC